CCGGGAAACGTAGTCTGGGCTTCCTGGGCGGCCGGCCCCGCCCCCTAGGCGTAAGGGGCGGAGACTCGGGGGTCAAGGACCGCCCACCGGTTCGGGGGCGTGGCTAGGGCTGGGCCCGCCCCTGGGCTCAGTTGCGGTGGGAACGCGTGTCTGTTTCACCCTGCTGCTGGCTGCCTGGAGGGGTTTGCCTTCCAGGTCGTTCTGTGATGGCTGCGCCCGTGGTATGCTCATCTCTGAACTCCCTTAATCTGCATCTCTCTCCAGACTCGAGCTTCGAATTTCCATTACCCACGCACTTGTTCATTTCACACATTTTCGGGGACCCATAAGTCAGACACGCGGTGTCATTAGTTTATTCATTCACTGGTTGAACAAATCTCTACTGAACACTATAGCTTGCACCGAGGAGAGGCTGGGGGCTTGAAAGATGCACGAGAGGAGGTTGTTGCCTTCAGGGGCACGAGATACTGTGGGTAACCAACAATTCTGTGTCTGGCATACATTGTCAGGGACAGGCACAGCCCTTGGGAGCCCCGAGGAAGGTGCCTAACCCCAAAGAGGCTTCTAGGCTGAGGAGTAAAGACAGAGCAGGAATTTCCAGGTGCGAAGGAGAGGACTGGAATACCAGGCAGAGAGCACTGCACCCGCCTAGACATGAGAAACCTCCCTAGTGTGAATTGGGAACCCCAAATGCAGGACCTAGTCTGTGCTACGTAGAGCTGTGGGGAAGAGGGAACAAGCGAGGACACAGGAGGATGGAGAGTTAGAAAGGGCCCAAACCCCCCAAGCCCCAGCAGAATTTAGACTTCGCTCCCAGGGCGTTAGAGAGTCTCTGGCTTTATGGAGGCGGGTGACCTGGGTTTGTGTATTTAATAGATTACTAGGACCAAAGCACAGAGGATGTTTGTATGGAGAACAAAACTAGATGTGAGGCTGTTGTTGTTGCAGGAAGATTGGCAGGGAGAGAGGGAGCTAGGCTGCAGAATATTCGAGTCAGCTGTTCTTCACTTCATGGATGTGCTGAGAATCTGATGACAGCACAAACTACCCAGCCTCGCTCCAGAATACGCTGAATGTGTGCAGACACATGCCATTTTCCACCCAAGTGCAGGACACAGACAGACACACACCTGCTCCTAGGATTAGGGACTCCTGCTGCAGGAGGAAATGGGCAGGACCAGGCAACTGACTGAATGGTGGGTGGGGAAGAGGGAGACTAATCTGCATGCACCCAACCATTTAGCAAATTTGTCACAAGCACCTACGACTGGGGATGAAACAGTCTCTATTCCTGTAGCCCACAGTCTAATGGGAGAGGACGAGCTAAGCAGTCATACAATACATGTAACCAACCGTGGAGAAGTGCAGGAGAGAAAAGGACGGTGTTTTCTTATGGAATCATATAGCGTTTAAAAGTGACATTGTAGTGCCACTGCCTGGGTTCGAATCCTGGTTTTGCCTCATTAACTAGCTGACCTTGGGCAGAGTATATAACTCCTCTGTGACTCAGTTTCTTTATCTGTAAAATGGAAATAATTATAATTTCTGCCTCATAGCATTGTCATGAGGAGTAAATGAGTTCTAAGCTCTGAAACACAGTGCTGTATGTGTGTGTCTGTGTGTGTGTGTGTGTGTGTGTGTGCTATTACTGTGAACACATTTAACAGGAAGGAGTGATCTGGTTTTTTTCTTGGAGATTAGGGAAGGATTCTCTAAGGAAAAAAATTTTTTTTCATACAGGGTCTCTATCACCCAGGCTGGGGTTCAATGGCACCATCACAGTTCACTGCAGCCTCCAACTTCTGGGCTCAAGTAATCTTCCCGTCTCAGCCTCCTGAGTAGCTGGGACTACAGGTGCATACCACTACACCCAGAAATTTTTTTTTTGTAGAGATGGGGCTGGTCTTGAATTCTTGGCCTCAAGTGATCCTCCTGCCTTGGCCTCCCAAAGTGCTAGGATTATGGGCATGAGCCACCGTACCTGACCAGGAAGTGATATTTGTAAGGAAACCTGAACTTTGTGTGGGAGAGAGGACAGGCAAACATGGGCAGAATGAAGAACTTGTGCAAAGGGCCTGAAGCAGAAGCAGCTGAGAGAAGGGGTGAGGGAAGGCTGAAACAGCAGGGCTCAGCAGGAGAACAAGGGAACTGGGGAGGACAGAAGGTGGGCAGAGGGCAGAGGCCACATTAAGGATCAGCCATAGGCTGGGCTCGGTGGCTCAGCCTGTCATCCCAGCACTTTGGGAGGCTGAGGCGAGTGGATTGCCTGAGCCTGTGGGTTCACGACTCACCTGGACAACTTGGTGAGACCTCATCTCTACAATACACCAAAAATTAGCCAGACATAATTGCGCACGCCTGTAGTTCCAGCTACTCGGAAGGCTGAGGCGGAAGGATCGCCGAGCCCAGCAGGTCGAGGCTGCGGTGGCTGGGAGCGGCCACTGCACTCCAGCTTGGGCGACAGAGTGAGACTCCAACTCAAAACAAAAACAGGGTCAGCCACATTAGGGGTCTTTCTCTTTACCCCAACAGTAATGAAAACCACTGACAGTGTTAGCCGAGGGGGAGAGGATGAAATGTGAGTTTTGATGTGGCCTGTGTGAATGCCCAGGGGGGAGAGGGGTGGGGGCATGAGGAGCTGGGGAGGGCAGGTTAGGGCTGGAGCACGGTGGCAGATGGGGATGATGGAGATGAGGGCATGGGAGGTTCCCACGGCAATTCGGGAACTGGGCGGGGGTGAGGGAGAGGCAGTGTCAGGGCTGCCGGGAGGTTTCTGTGCAAACAGGCAGGCAGCACCTTTCAAAGAAGAGAAGAACCCGGAAGAGGACTGGGGTGGGGAGTGGCTTGAGTGAGGAGGGGAGGGTGGGGGTGGAAGTGAAAGTGCAAGTTCCTTTTTCAAAAAAACGTATTTATAGAGATGGGACCTCACTCTGTTGCCCAGACTGGAGTGCAGTGGTGTGATCATAGTTCACCGCAGTCTTGATCTCCTGGGCTCATGTGATCATTGCTCCTCAGCCTCCCAAGTAGCTGGGACTACAGAGTTGCACGTTGCCATACCTGGCTAATTTTAAAATTTTTTGTAGAGATGGGCTCTCCCCATGTTACCCAGGCTGGTCTTGAACTCCTGGCCTCAAGTGATCCTCCTGCCTCGGCCTCCCAAAGTGTTGGGTCACCGGCGTGAGCCACCCCGCCTGGGGGCCGAACGTATAGACTCTATCTTAAACACATTGAGCTTGAAATGCCTTGGAGACACCAAGTGCATACTGGGGAAAGTCCTTTGAGACTGGGTTTGGGCACAGCCTAGAGTCTGGGTTGGAGATGAAGTGAGATGTTATCAACAGAGAGAGGGTTGTGGCCAGTAGTTGAGGCCAAGCTTGTTCAAGGCGAAGAATGTGGGAAGAGGAGAAAGGTGGCCCAGCACAGAGCTGAGGGCCATGCAGAGGGGGGTCTGCGGGGAAGGCTGTGAGGCTGAGCAGGTGGCTGGGAAGGTGGGCAGATGCCCAGGAGCTTGGGCGTGTGGGCGTGTGGGCGTGTGGGCGTGTGGGCGTGTGGGCGTGTGGGCGTGTGGACGAGGCCCAGGGAAGGGCTTCCACGGGGTGGGAGGGGTCAGTGGTGGGGAGGTTCAGGGGGATGAAGATGTGGCCCTGGGCTTTGGCTCTAACAACAGGGATGGAGACCCTGGGGGCCTCCAGACAGGCTGTGTATGTGGTGTGATGGAGGGGGTCAGATGGCAGTGGCATGATGCAGGAGGGAGGAGGGAGGCGCGGGTCTTTCGAGAAGTTTCTGTGTGAAGGGGAAGAGAGAGACAAAGGGATCCAGTCAGCGTGCATGTTGGAGGAAGTGTGTGTGTGTGTGTGTGTGTGTGTGTGTGTGTGTGTGTGTGTGTGTGTGTGTTTGAGTCGGAGTCTCACCCTGTTGCCCAGGCTGGAGTGCAGTGGCCACTCCCGGCCACCCCAGCGTCGACCTGCTGGGCTCCGGCGACCCTTCCGCCTCAGCCTTCCAAGTAGCCGGAACTACAGGCGCGGGCTCCCACGCTCAGCTAATTGTTTTAGTTATCGTAGAGAGGTCTCACCAAATTGCCCAGGCTGTTCTTGAACCCCTGGGCTCCGGCAATCCTCTTGCCTCAGCCTCCCAAAGCACAGGATCACAGGCTTGAGCCACTGCGCCCAGCCAAGAGGTGTGTTTTAAGGTGGAAGGACCTAGATGTTTCAAAAACGGAGGCAGTTCAGGGGAGAGAGCTTCACCAGGGGGAGTCAGAAATGGGGGAGGTCGTCCTCCAGAATGTTCTCCGGTGCGTGCTGTGTGAGGGGGTGGGCTCAGGCGCGAGGGGGCGGGCTCGGGAATGTGGGTGCAGGACTTCATCTAGGGAGGAGGAGGGGCGACTTCCCC